TTTAAAAAAAAAAAGTTGTGAGAAATATTTTTTAGCTCGACCAGTTAATGCCCGAATCTATTCTTGCAAAAAATTCAAAGATAGCAGATAAAACAGCCCGCTCTGGCCCCTGCCTCCTGAGCCCCCTCTCTGGGGTCCGCGAGCGCTGGGAAACCCCAGGGCCGGGAGGCGGGGGCCTCGCGGCTTTTCCTGCCCCACACCCATGGTGGGTGTGCTGCTGGAGCGTCTGCCGGCCTGGCCCCCGAGTCTGAGTCCCCCCAGGACCCGCTGTGCTTGAGTGAGAAGCAGCCCTTGTCACTGAAGCCTGGGGATGGCTCGGTGCTACGGAGCGTAGCCCGCCTGGACCGTTGCAGGAATGGGCACTGATCAACGGGCATTGCTGCAGCCTGAAACCTCGGGGCACAGCCCGCCCACGTGGCAGACAGAGAGGAAGCTCTGTGCACACGGTGAGAGACGGGGTGGGGCCAGACGAGCCACGGACGCCAGCCACAGGCCCGAGGAGGAGGAGGGGGAGGAGGAGGAGGACGCCAGCAGGTGTCGGCTGCGCTTGGCAAAGACTCTGAGAAGGAGCCAGACTCAGACGGGAGCTGCCGGCGTGGAGCAGGGAGGAGAGAGAATGAGACTCCAAATACTGTGCCCCTCAGTGCCGGGACTGCCGACAGATCTCCGGACCCCCAGATTCAGCCAGGTCCGACAGCGTGTGGGTGGTCCCCTGGACGCCGTGTGCTGCACAGGGACGCGCGCTTGGCCGCCAGCCGGGAGACCGGCTCAGGTACATTCTGGGACGCAGAGCGGGTGGAGGAAACGCTTTGTCTTCTCAGGTGATGGGTCTTCAGATGACAGGTGCCCCTTGTGGGCCGGGGAAGAACCCTCCCGGGCAGGCCTCGCCCACAGGCCCCGGCTCCGTATGGCCGGGGAGACAGCGAGCAGAATTAACTGGTCTGGAAGGCAGACCACAGGAGTCTTTAGAGCTATTCTCAAATAATTTGGCCTCCTTTTCCAGACACGTGCCCCTGCTTCTTGAAGTTCGGCCTGGCTGCGTGACCGGCTTTGAGGCTTTGAAGGTCAGTTCACGGTGTTTCCTGCTTGGTGGTGGTGGAAAGCTGCGTCAGCTTGGGGTCCCGGTCCCCCCGGTGAACACAAGAGTAAAAGCCTCCGCTGGCCCACCCTGGACACGGGGGAGCAGGTGCAACTGGACATGTGCATGCACGGTGGGGGGCTGTCCGTGGCGCAGCAGAGCCTACCCCAGCCCCACTGCTAGGTGCCCCCCCACACGAGTGGGCTCTGCCTCTCCCCTCCTAGTCCGGAGGCAGTGGGCGCAGGGCCGTTTCTCGGGGACGCTCAAACACCTTACTCCTGGGTCCCTCAGAGACAGTGAGAGGCACAGTGGGGCATCTGCAGGGGTGTGGGGCCAGGCAGCGGGTCGTGAGCGTCCCCTGGGCTCTGTGCTGAGGGAGGGGCGGGTCCTCCTCTGAGCAGGTCCTGGATCCAGGCTGATGAACGCACAGATGTGAATCCTGCCCTCCCCACCCCAAGCCGGGAGAGGTGAGACCCCCCCAGCCCACCCGGGACCGACAGCCCCCAGAGCCTGCTCCTGTGGCTCCCAGAAGCCCGAGCGACCCCACACTTGGAGAAGTTGCCAGGAGCCTTGGGTTTGCTCGTACTTTTAGATGCTCTGATTAAATTGTAGCCGCAGTGCAAGGTGTTTATAATGTTATTAATGATGCTGGTGCTGGCTCGTGCATAGCTCCCACGGAAGAAGCCTGCTCCCCGGGTCGGCTCGTCAGTCTGTTCACACACAATCTCCACACATCTCCAGAGATTACCATTTTAACAGCTTTGGGTAGAGATACCAGAAGGCAGTTACATTTAACAGGGCATAAATCCAATTCCCTCTGCATTCAATTTTCTCAGGCTGCAGAATCCATTTGAGCCTCTTGGGATCTGACTCTGGAGTCCATCAATGCCGGCTCCTTCCCCCCAGCCCCCTGTCTGGCTCTCCCCTCTTGGGAACTCAGCCCTGCAGAGGAAGATGCCCCGATACAAAGTAACAGCCTTTCTCTCTTTACAAGGGAATCTCATTAGGTGTGAAGGGGACACAGAGCCTGAGGCCTGGAGGCTGCTCCTGGCCGAGGCCACCGCCCCCTCTCCCGCGTGGCTGTGGATCACGCGCTCTGATTACCCCTAACAGCGCCCGCCGGCCCTTTCCCCTGTGCCCCAGCCAGGGAGGGTCTCTCCAGGGCCTTTTCTGGGGGGTCCCTTAGCCCCATGGACTGTCCACATGGCTTTTTGTCCTTGGTCTGTCCTTCCGCTGCAGTGGCGAGGACTCCGAGGCCACGTTCTGAGCGGGAGGCACGCACCGTTCCTGAGACGTACGTATGTTATTACCCCCATTTTATACATGGGACACAGGCACAGAGAGGGTAAGTGTCCCGCCCACGGTCACACAGCGAGGGTCAGAGCCAGGCAATGCTCACCCAGAGGCCGTGCAGACTCCTGAGGGCCCCGCGCCATCCCGCTGAGTTCCGCATGCAGAGGGTGGGCAGCCGTTGTGCTTACCCTTCCGCCAACAGCTCCAGTGTCCCCGACCAGAACCGCCTGGGCCTCCGGGCCGGTCATGCATTGAGCGGACACACCCCTGCCTGGCCTCGGGGCCGGCAGCAGCGCCCACCTCTCCGGAGCCACGGTCGGTGCAGGGTGAGCCCGTGGTTCACGGGGACTCTGGGTGCGGCTGACAGGAGGGGCCCCGGGCAGCAAGCAGGTGGGACCGGTGTGTGCGTGGGGGCTGCCCAGGGTCCCCTGTGTGGCACGATTCCCCGCCTCTGCTTCAGCATCCGCATGACTGAGTGCTCTGACACCTCCTTCTCTGTGCACGGGCCCCCGTGGGGGTGTGCACACATGTGTGTACAGCTGTGCCCGGGAGTAGGCGGGGCTGGGCGCGTGGGCCATTCCTGTGGGCGCCGCGTGCGTGCTCACCAGGACTGCTCGCTCATGGAGCCTGCGGAGCCCTGTGGGACCACCTTTCTCTGCCCCAGAGGAGAGGCTCAGGAAGGGGGACCCCAGCTGCCCGACCCGAGCTCCCGAGCTCCCGAGATGGTCTAACCCGTCCTCCCACTTAGGATTTAGCCAGAGCCCGGACGATGAGGGATTGCTTAGGAGATCTGGTTGTGCGCCCCTCCCTGGGCCCACCAGTTTCCTCCCCCTTGTCCGTGTCCAGAAGAGGAGCCCCTGGCCAGAGCTCAACCCCAAACAGAACCGGCCACTCTGGGCCCCGGGTCGTGCTCCAGCCGCAGCCTGGGCAGGTCTGGAAAACACGGGAGTCCAGGGGAGGGGCGGTGGGGAGTGCTTGAGGTACATCTGGGGCCCTGGGTCCTGGCGCCTTCAGCCTCCCGTGGCCCAGGCTGTTCTGCCGGTGGCCCCTCCTCCGTGCCAGCTCAGAAGTTCTGGTAGCTTCTGTGGGCACCCCCTTGGGTGCCCTGAATTGGCATGAACTCAGCCGCCCAGACTGTGGAGAGGCCACGTGGGGAGGCCACACGGGGAAGCCACCCGGAGGGACCATAGAGAGAGAAGGGCTCTAGTCATCCAGTTCAAAAATGTGTCTTTAGTAGGGACCCTTGGGGAGGAAGAAAAGATGTTGGACAACCATCAGGACTAGATACAAAGAGAAATAGTATCTGATGTTTGATGAAAAGTTATTAGGCTCCCAACTGACAGTCCACAGGAGCGTGGTGGGGCTCCCCCGTCCTGCGCTCTCGCTCGAGACTGCCAGAAATTGCCCAGGTGTTCGTGAAGGGACGTGGAGCCTGCCCACGGCGGGGCGTGGATCTCCCCAGATCTGCTGGGGACGCTCATCATGGCTCCATTGTGGTAGGAGAGGACCAGGCCGGAAGCACACGCCCCTCACCCCTGTCCTGGGGAGTCCCGAGGCCCCAGGAACCCAGGGCAAAGCCCCCTGCCCCGCCCGAGGGCCGCCATCCCCAGAGCCCCGCAGAAAGTTGGCGGCTCCTGCGCTTGGCCTCAAGACCTGTGGGGCGGCCTCCTCCCTCTTGCTCTGTTTGGGACGCTAATTTGCTGCCCCGCAAACGGAGAGCAGGGAATCCGCAGGGGGTCGGGGAGCAAGCAGGCCAGGATGAGCAGCGGGCAGGCCCGCTCTCTGTGCTCCAGGATGCTGCCACGGAAGCCCGGTGATGGCTTCTCCTTTCGCAGAGGCCGCCTGAAGCTGGACGCCACCAGTGAGTGCGGGGCCAAAGCGCGTTGGACCGCGAGCCGGACGTCCACGCATGGATCCCGCCAGTCAGAAACCAGGTGGCCGGCACCATCTGCCCTCAGCCCTCATGGACTGCGCGGCTTTGAGAAAGATACTTAACCTTCCAGGCCCGTTTCCTCTTCCGTGTCAGGGAGAGTGACTCCACCCCTGTGTCGGCTTGTCCAGCCGCGGTGCTTAGCGCCCAGCGCGGAGCCCAGTGTCAGCATGTGCTTGTGTTACTGTCCTTACCGCGTACAGTGGTAATACTGTGACCCCGAAACAGGACAGGGGACCTTCTTGGACTCGGGTTGTTAGCGATTTTATAACACGTGTGGTTTTTTTCCTGATGTCTCACGCCTGAGGTCCTGGGAGACCGGGGTCTTGGTGAGGACAGGCCCACCCGAGACGCGGGGAGTTGCGCTGGGGTGGCGTCCCGGGAGGGGCCGGGGCAGCAGTCGCGTCCCCCTGCAGGGGGCTTGTTCCTGGACAGATGGACGGTCGGACGGATGGGCGGAGGGGTGCCCGCGAGTCGTGCTGCCTCATTAGCTTTCCATCTGGAGTGAGCCCCCCGCCCCGGAGCCTTCCCCGTGGCCAGCTCGGCACACACCTGTCAAGACCCATTGATTTGCTGTCCCTATCACTTCCTGTCGTCACGGCGGCCACAACGGCCTCATCAGGCCTCTCCCAGTGCTTCAGACCTTGGCGTTGCCACAGAGACGAAATGACCCATAATAGTCCCTGCCTCCTCCAATGAATGAAGGAAGGGACAGAGATTTCCTTGGGGTTCGATGCTGGGGACAGCGCGCCCCCGCCTCACGGTATTGGAGCCCCTGGCCGCCGGCACCTGGGTCTGGGTCCCCCCGTTCCCCGGGCTCACTCGCTGCTGCTGGCGTGAAGCGTGGACGGCTCGGGGCGTGGGGGGTGAGACGCACAGACTCATCAGAAACTCCGCGTCACCAGTGGGTTCTCCAAAATGCTGTCTCCTTGACCCAGATGTGCCGCGATCTTTGGCTGGGCTGCCAGCGCGCGCTTGGCGATGCTTCTGCTCGGGTTACAGGGCGGTGAGCCTGGGCTCAGAGCGCCCGGACGCCCCAAGAGCATTTCCCCAGGACTTCAGTTTGGTCTGCCCTTCCGACCTTTCGTAGGTCTGAGCCTCATGATCGGCATCGCCTCCCTCCCCTTTTAGAGCTGGGGCAGTGAGGGGAGCCATCGACGGAGCCCCGGGGGGCCGCTCACACCCTCAGCCCCGCGGAGCCCCCCCCCGCATCCCCGGAGCCCTGGCTTCCTCGCTGACCCCGTGGCCGGCCAGCAGCCCGAGGGCGCCTCCCCCGAGGAGGGACCTGACGGTGTGGGCCAAGGGCTCCAGTCTTGTCTCCACGGCTCTGCTGTAACGTGACCCCCAAACTATTGGGGCCTTAAGGGACGGGGGAGGGGCTGGGGCTGCTGGGGGCATGCAGAGGCCGAGTGGCTGGCGTCCTGTGTCTCGGCCACGGGGGAGGCCGTGGGCACTCTGCGCTCACACGCAGCATGGCACCCAGTAGGGCTCTCTGGGAATTGGCTTCCCTCCCTGGCCCTCGCCCGAGGCTGCGCATGGAGAGGCTGGGAGGCCACAGAGGGTGGCTTCTGCCGCTGTCCTCGGCTGTCTCCCTCCCTCTCTGTCTCCTTCTGTAGCCCCCCCGCGTCAGGACGGTGCCAGCTGCCTGTGCTCACCCCGTGACTGCTGGGTTAGGACCCAGGACCAGGTCAACCAGACTTAGTTTCCTCCTCCCCAAGGTCTGCGGGCCCTGGGAAGGAGTCATGGCCCGAGGCCATGACCGGTTGAGGCTCAGGTGGACCCGCATGAATTCAAGGTGCTCGAGAACTGAAAGAGGGAGACACCAGGTCCGTGTGGGCCTCTTGGTGGAGGACTGTCAGGAATACGGGCCACTGGGTGGGCTGGGGGCCCTGGGTCTCCTCCTAGGGTGTGGGAGCTGCAGGATTGGGAAGGGGCCAGAGCCCAGATGGAGAGCACAAGGGGGTGTGTGCTCCTTGGGGGCAGCGGGGCAGTGGGGGCGGCCCAAGGGGCTGCAGGGAAGCTACAGGGAGGGTCAGGAGCCTCGACGGCCTGCACCTTTCCTGGCTCGGGGGTCGCAGGCTGCATCTCTTCCTGCCTGTGGGGTCAGCAAGCAGAAATGGGGACCACGAAGGGAGCCAGCTTCCTGTCATGGTGCCCAGCCTCCTGGGCTGGACTCTCCCTGTCTACCGTCTCTGACTTACTGCCCCTGGAGGGTGTACCGGAGCCTTTGTCCTGGACCCCCCCTTCCTCGGCCGCCCCCGTGTCTTCCCATCTCAGGGCTCCCACTTGGCCGTCTCCCCAGGGTGTCCTTGCGGTGAGGGGTTCTCTCCTCTCTCCACCCACACCGCCCTTCCTCGGGGAAGGCCGACTGCAGTCTTGCCTCCTACAGGCAGCACTCCAGGATTGCCCCAGTTGTTGCCTTCTCTCCTTCCTCCTCTTCTAGGACACCTGCTCAGGCTCAGGCTGAGGGCAGGCTTCCCATGGGGACCTGGCTGGGCTCTCCCTTTCAGGGGTTCTGCAGAGCACTGAATAGCATCCCGCCAAATTCACGTCCACCTGGAATCTCAGAAGATCTTATCTGGAAATTGGTCTTTGCAGATGGAATTAGTTAAGATGAGGTCATAGTGCAGTGGGATGGGCCCTGATCCAATGACTGGGTCATTGTAAGAAGAGACCCACGGGGACAACTGGGTGGCTCAGTCGTTAAGCATCTGCCTTCGGCTCAGGTCATGATCCCAGGGTCCTGGGATCGAGCTTGGCATCGGGTTCCTTGCTCCACTGGGAGCCTGCTTCTCCCTCTCCCTCTGCCGCTCCCCCTGCTTGTGCTTGCTCTCTCTCTGACAAATAAATAAATCTTAAAAAAAAAAAAAAAGAAGAGACCCAGAGACACGGACACACAGGGAGGAGGCAATGGAGGCAGAGCAGGGAGGGACACCAAAGATGGGGCAACACCAGGGGCAGGGAGGGGCTGGGAGGGCCTGGAAGGAGCTGGGAGGGTCTGGGAGCATCTGGGGGGCAGGGAAGGGCAGGGCGGGGTAGGGCAGGGAGGGGCCAGGGCAGAGTCTCCCTCAGAGCCCCAGAAGGGCCAGCCCTGCGGGCACATTGAAGTTGGACTGTGTCCTGCTAGAACGTTTCCGCCCCGTGTGGCATGTGCTCAGTGGCCCAGCCCGCGGGAGACCGCACAGGTCAGGGCTGGTGGGGCCGGCGCCCCGAGCTGCTCCTGGGGGACTGTGGAGAGAGGGACTCCCCGGGCAGGCTCTCTTTCCTGATCATCCTGCAGAGCGGTGACCATGCAGAGTGGGGACCAGGGCTCACTGGGACTGGAGTGTGGAGGGCGTTGGGGGGTGAAAAAGTCTTGGACTTTTAAAATGTATATCCATTCTACTTGGAACTCTAACTTATATTTTATTTATTTATTTTTAAAGATTTTATTTATTTATTTGTGTGTGAGAGAGAGCAAGCACAAGCAGGGGGAGAGGCAGAGGGAGA